CAAGAAGTTATTTGGTACACCTACTCAAGTCTCATTTTGACGGCAAATGCAACGAAGGCTTGCACGATGAACTAGATATGAATGTAAAGAGCTTGTATTATATTCTGTACGTATTAAGATGCTTCGTTCCACTAAATGTGGTCCCTCACAAACCTGAGTACGCTTCATTATTAAGGAAATGACGTTGAATTTGTCTTCTATTGTTGTGTAACAATATTCCACGTCTTGAAACCTTTTACGTAATTGTTTTTCATAGCCAACGTTTGCACCCTTAGATATAAATGCTTGGAGAATTATAATTAATTAATTCAAAAGGAATCTGGAGATGATGATGCGATGTTTGATTTATATTTTAAAAATGAAACTAAAATTTTGTTCTCATACTTACATTTACCTATTTCTCATAATAAATAAATAATTGAATTTATTAAAGTTTACTTCCCTACTAATATTATAAATGCGAAAGTAACTCTGTCTGTCTGTCTGTCTGTTACGCTTTCACACCTTAAAATCACTGAACTGATTTTAATGAAATTGGGTACAAAGATAGAGTTGACCTTGAGAAAGAACATACGATAGTTTTTATTCCAGACTTTTGAACGGTTCTCTTGGAAACGCGATATAACCGAACTCCACGCGGGCGAAGCTGCGGGCGGAAAGCTAGTAATATTAAAATCAGATAAAGCTTATAATTTTTAAAGGCTGCTTCAAAATATACAAACCACTACATACAGAGACTTTATATTAAACTTGTATTTAATTTAAGAATTCGTTGTTGCTGTTGTGAACAAAATTAATTATAAATTAATCCCTACATGAGGTAATTGGATACATTTAATATCTTTTAAGCGGTAGATAATTATTTTTAAACGTATAACAGTGACAGTTATTTTAAAAGAAGATACAGATTATAATCTAAAAAAAAAATATTTTTAAAAATAGAATATCTGTATCTGTAAATACAAGTGCCACTTCTGTTATATATAAATGACAGCACAATATCTTCAGAAATAAATTGATCCAAAAACGAATATACATTTAAAGGTCAGAACTCAAACCTCGCTGATCCAAATAGAAGCAAAATATAAATATTTTATTCGATATTCCGTTTTAGAATTTCATGAAATATTCTCAAAAGGTTATCCCGTCTGGGACGAGTTCAGGTACTTTAGGTTAATTGAATGATTGTCATTTTAGGGACAACATCTGATTTGGATTGTATTTATATAAATTGTTTTTATTTATACTTGTAGTACAACTTGTTATGTACGCGCTACGTAATATGAAGAAATAATTGAATAACGCTGGGGAGACATCTTTGTATGTTTAAATATCATAAAACGAGTGACGCCGCTGACTCCGCGGAACAAACACCAAGCATTGTGAACCAGAAGATTCCTTACACCACACAAGCAATAGAATGTCATTGTCATCCTAACATCGGGGCAATCATGTAATCTTAGGTATAGGTTATAAGTTTTAATATGTAGTTTTTATTTTAATATACATATAAGTAAGTTTCGTTGTTTTCCTGGAACCTCCGGTTGCCACCCTACGCAATTAATCAGTTAATATTGTATTGAATAACCTGTTTAATGAAACAATATCAAATGTTAAATGTTACAAGTCCTAATTGATATTTCCTAAAAAATGAATAATAATTAAGTCATTACCTACTTTATTCGCCGAACTTTATAAGCGTTTATTTGATAATAGAAATTGATATTCAAATGTCGTTATTATTATATGTATGACTAGGTAAAGTGTGATTGTAAAGTAATGGGTCAAACTGACTATAATTTTGGTCACAAATTATGACCCGGTCAACCTACATGACTATTAAGCCCATTTAATGACATGTACTATGAAATCTAATATTTACTTTTACTTTTGATGGTTAAGGGAGCAGAGGTTTCCAGATTCAAGTTTTATATTTAGGATTTAGATTTGAGATTGTAGAAAATACTCAGCCATATATTTACCCAAATATTTTACCCAAATAGGTTCAATCACTTCAAGTTTTACGTGACCGAATAACAAATACACACCCACTAAAACATCCTTATTTATAATATTATTTTTAAAAAGTATATGATATTATTGTTACAAGTTAAGAAAACCTTTATACAGGTATCTAAAGATTTCCGCATTCATAAAAAAATACAAGATGCTCGATGACGTAACACAAAATTGTTAAAGAACAAAAAGCAAATTCTATAAAAACCAAGACTGTTGATGAGTTGTAGATTTCATAATAATAAAAAAAACTATTTCACACTTCTAATAATGATACTACTTTGAAGAATAAGTTAAATTTGATACCTTATTCCTCTTGTAACCTGTTGATTATTGATATTCGTATATAAAGAGAAGCCAATGTTTATCAGCTTGAGAAAATATTAGACCATCAATTGTTTTAAAACAGAGCCAATTTTATGAAACATAGTTTTGGCAAGTACTTCTTGGAAATCATGGACATCGTTTTGATCACGGCTAGTTTGGTAGAAATAATTCATTATTCAGTATTAAATATATTATACATTTCATATCTTTATTGGTTGATATAATCAAAGATTATTTAGTAAAAAACAAGTAGAATTGGTTTTAAAAAAGTGCCACACAGAGTTTTACCAGCTAAAACTGTTTTAAACAAGGAGGCATTCGAAATATCTCTTATGCAACAGTGGTACATATTTAAATAGGTAGGTCACATCAGATGGACTTCCTAGCTTAAAATATATCATTTACTAAAAAAGAATCTTTAAAATCGACACTTGTTTTTTAAAAAAGAATTTCACTACTTGATATTACGTCCTTAAAAAATCTTAATATTTCAAAAGTATGAACATACACGTCAATTTTATTTATCTATTAGCGACCCTCCCCCACTTTTCACGTGGGTATGTATAATTTTGGGTGTAATTTTAATTTTATTTGTATATTTGTTTGGTGTTTCATTGTATTATTTTTAACAAAGATCAGTTTTTTTAGCAAAACATATAGCCTATGTTACTCGGGGTGAAGAGAGCTTTTTCATAGTAAAAGAATTTTAATATCGACACATTCGTTTTTGAGTTAAGTCATGACATGCACACATAAAAATGTATAATATTATATTGTATTTAAACTTGACAAAAAGCTAATATAAAGTATAATTAATATTTTCTTAGAAACGAATTCTTTAATAATAATTTTGAAATCAAATTAAAAATCGGAAAAAATTTGAATCTTTATGTTATTAATAACATACAATAATAGATATATATATATATATATATATATATATATATATATATATATATATATATGATTCTAAGACTTTCAGTTAATTTAAAAATTTCCTAAAACTTCAATATTGAAAGCATTTAAGTTTTTTAACGAAGATCATAAGGATGAACTACGATGAACGATTATATTTTTTTTACCAGATAATAATTATCTCAATCCCACCTACATCAAAGTTAATATTATTAAATTAATGATGTGCAACACTCATCAATCGTGCATATTAAGTTTCAATCAAATAAAAACTCAACTCCGAAACGATCTTTAGGTACCATTTAAAATAGACGAACAATGAACGAGTTTTTGTCTTATAAAAAACTCAGAATCATCTAAAAATAATTACACGGAATAAATAACGAATAGGATTTCCTTACTTTATAATATTTAGATGATAGTACAAAACAATATTCATTATGTAAATGATTCTAGAAATAAGACAAATCTAAATAAGAAAGCACCCTACGAGAATAGTAAATAACAGAAGCCCTCAAGATTCCCTACAACATAATCCTCATCGGTTGAATGAAGGCTGTACTTGAACTACGGGCACATCGATAACAGAACCGGGTCAGGGTCCATTACGTGTCACGTGCTGACACCGCTGGTTTTCGCCAACAAAGCCTTCGATGTAAGGTGTGGCCCGCTTTTGTGACGTCTCTAAGTGGATAACAGCATAATGGGTAAACGTGAATACGGCTTCGTTAATGTTTTGTTTTAGAATTGTATTTCTTTCAACTAAGGGAAATATCGTTTCAAATTCCGGAATTGAATCTATAATTAGCTTTTTTTGCAACAACTAGACGCATTTTTTAAAATATGTCATAAAAAAATGGTTAAGGAATTTCTTTCATGAAATAATAATTGATATAAAATTTGACAAGATCATTTTTATAGCCATAATTAAAATTCATTATCTTCCAAAAAACTTAAAACATCAAAGACGATATTTACTTGAGATTTACAATAATGACATAGCAATTTGAAAATTATCTTTTACTGTGTATTCTAAAATGACCAACAAAATAAAAAAAGATACATTCAACATCAAGTTATATCTACTATAAACTTGGAAGTGGATGAATGTCATAAATATGACTTGTATATAACACACGAGAAAAGAATATTCTCGAAGAATCTTTCATGAATAAAAGATACATGGTAACGTAGTGCTGCCAGAAAAAAGTAACGCTCGACAAGCCTTACATTGATAATAAGCTGAAATTCATCAATAAAATATGACGTCACTACGAACAAAAATTAAATTTATTTATTTCAAACAGTATTATGTACTAAGTACTCGTATCTCATATCCAAACCACGCTTCACTTGATCAATATACAGCTTGAAAATTTAAAGTTTGTTAAAACAAAGGTCTTCCCCCCGAATTTTAAACTGGGTCAGACTTAGGTCACTGCCATTATAACTAGTGTACTGAGTGGGTAGCGTGAACATCTTACGTGAGATCACTTTGAGTCGATAATTTATTATACGGATTAATTTAAACATTCTCAAAAACGAAGTTGATGTGAGTTATGAACTTTATTAGCAATTCGACTTGTCGTTTATGTTATTTTAATAAGGGTATTACGAGTTTATATCGCTGCATCGATCAAAATAAAGTTTTATAACTTCTTTATGGGTTATAAAAATGCTAAGCATTCTTTATATTTCATGTAGAGAACTACTTTGGAGATATATGTATGTAATATACTAACCAGAATTCGTCCGGTGGTGGTCTGGCCAGAGATGAGTTCGCCGGCCCAATCCTTGGCCTCGGTCATGAAGGTGCCCTCGAACTCCTGTTTGCCCTGTCGCGCCGCTTTCTGCTCCTTCTGCTTGGGGTCGTTCGGCGCCAGCTCGGGCTCCTTGCGGCAGCAGACGAACGCGCAGAGCCGCCATAGCAGCACCACCAGAAGCCCCGCCAAGAACGTGATGATCGACGAAAGCAGGAAGCACCACCATTTTCGTACACTGAGACAGTCTGGCAATCCATCTTCAGAGGTCGGCGCGGTTGTCGCCTCTTCCTCGGACGAAGCCATTCCCCGAGGGCGCGAGGCATCCAGACAGGCGCGCCATGCACGTGCAGAGACGCGCGCGCTCGCACGGCCCGCGCGCGACTGGACGCCGAGCTGCTAGGCCGAGAGCCGAGCGGCCGCGCCGTTCGATGCCGCGCGATCGATCCGCGCCTGCGCGCCCGCTACCGTCCGAACATGCTGACCCGCGAACTGCGACCTTCTCTTCTCTTCTCTGCTCGAACCCGAACCTTACTGCCCCGTCCACCCTCGATGACCCGAAAGCCCCAAGCTGTCTCGTATGCCACGGTTCTAGATTTACCCACCTGCAGCTGATAGTTTTATTCGGCCCCGAGAGCCCACAGGTTTGGCTGGGGAAATCCTTATGTTTTATGAAGATGATTATGTAGTTTAACAGCTCGATGAATTCCCTGGTAATATTTTCTATGGAGAGGGTCGGTTCCTCACAACTGAATTGATATCAACTGTCACGTTTAAAATCTCGTCGCACCAGTCATTTCGACTTCACGGACTCGAGCAGACTACGTCCGCAGAGGTTTTTTGTTTGTCGTAACACTGTTCGATTGAACCTAAGTTCGCAGCGCGGACGATCCGTTGCTACATTCGGTTCAGTGTTGCCGCTCTGAAATAAGACTCTTTAGATGTGGATATTATATGGAATGCGGAGGTTTCGGAAAGGTCAATGATTTTACTTTTACATGCTACGCCACCCTCTGCGTGCGTCATCGGCCGCTACGGAAATCGTAGACGGCTACAGAATACCTACAGATAAGCTACGAATATCAACTTCATAACCTACTTTTGTTCGTACCATTTGAATAAAATGGAACTTTTCAATGTAAAGAGTTTTATAAGCTGTAAGTAAACAGAGTTAAAATAAAAACGTCAATGTTTTGTGTCAACGATTACCTACGAGATATTTTATTAATCGACTAAATTATTTAGGCCAAGAACTGTTATTTGGTTTGTAAGAACATTTTTTAGGTACGGCTTATTTTATAAAATAATTCCTATAACCTATATTTGTATACCCAAATATGTACTTTATAGTGAAATAAATAATAATGCTTATTGGGAATATAAATGACAAATCAAGTACATTTTGTAAAGAAATTGGTAATTTTAAGAAATTTGTGTGTTTTAAATTATACGTGTTAATCTTAAAGACATAATAAAGCTCAAGTATTTGTTTATTGGTTTAATTAAACAATCTAGTATCAGGAACTATTCGTGGTATTTGAAAAATTCTCTCGTTGTTAAATATCGTATTTATTGAGGAAGGTCACATGCTGTACTTAATGTTCTTTAGGAACGAAATCTCAATAAAAATGTAACAAAAACATTCTTGTACCATTATAGTTAAATATACAATGAAATTATAAGACCCAATACTTTTTTTAATCACTAATCCAAATTTCCACTCTTAATCTACTACTTACATTCAAATAGCAGAATGTAAAACAACTCTTAGGCACTTTTGAAATATTGTCAATTATTAAATTTTACTATTAATCATAAGGACGTAAGAAAATTTAAATTCATTTTAATTCTGATAAAAATAGTATAAAAGGCATTAAACACAAACATGAAATTACGTAATGTTTTAAAATGCTTTATCTAAAATTAATATCGCGAAAAGTTCTTTTCTTTTTATAAAACGAACAAGTCATTTTTCGTTCACTTATGACCATTTAATATAGAGATAACGTTTAAATAATAATACATGTAAAAGTATGATTATCTATCAATCTATAGAGCAGCTTTATTTAATAGAATTGAATAAATTTAATATGGATTACTGAGCAATCAAAATGAATAATTTTTGACCAATGGCTTTGTATAGGTATATAATTAAAGTAAACTCTGATGCTAAATAATATGTTTTTTAAACAACTCTTCCTCTCATAAGTATCTAATATAATTCCCGTTTCTCTCATTGCCTCTTGGGTTGTTTTAAGACTTAATAAGTAAGTATAAGACTTTTAAGACTCAATAAGTATCAGACTATCGGTTTAACTTTATGTTCAAAAATAACACTTATTCTATATTTAATACATTTAAAATAATAATGTAAATATTAATCGAAATTCATCTATACTGCTTAGGTTTCTGTCTTTTTATTCTATGAGAAAGTTGGCAAACGAGCACACAGCGTACTTGATGGGCAGTAGTCACTGTGGCCGACAGAAAAAGGTCTGTTTGTGTTTTATTTTCGACAGGTGTGCACCTGAAACCTTAATTAGTCTTTGAAACCATCGAAATCGCTTTTGAGATCTTAACTTCGAAGGGCTTGTTTCAAATCATGAAAAAGTTTGAGATGATCTGAAGTGATAAAGAAGTCACAGCTGTCTTCTGATAAAAAAGGTGATTCGAAAAACATTAAAGACCTCGTTAACCAAGTGTATGTATCGTAAAAATTTTGTGATATTTATCATTTAAAAGAATATCTAGTGGATAAACCAGTGCAAAGAGCATTTTAAGTAGCTATGAAAGAATCTAGATGAGATTGTGTTTATGTAGCTGGTACCGTTTCCTACGGTTGTTCTTTATCCTCCAAAATATTTTATAAAAGCCTCAGCGATTATGAATATCGAATAATATGTGTCAATTTTCGTAATAATTTGCTACCTCCTGTGAAATACCTGTCACCTTTTTTCCTAAGAAAAATCTTACATGAAGTCTATACTCCTGATGATCCGAACAGTTTAAATTCAAAGTAGGAAGAATAGTTATATTACTAACTTACTAATGTTGTGGCTTCTGGCTCTTAGATTTAAATAAACACAAACCTAATTGCTTACCTATATAGACACTATTGGTATAAATGTACGATATTTTGAATAAAATGATTGATAAGAATTGTGATTGCGATATACTTTATCTTTTATATATGAATTAGGCTTCAGCTTTTGTTATTTTGTTCTAATCCCGATCACTATTTAAACGATTTTCTTGATATAATCAAACGTCACATAATTGAACTATCATTACATTAAAATTTAACTCGCTTAAATTTGTCTTCGAAAATTGTTTGTTAAGGTACTACATAGCTAATCATTAAAAAATAACTTTGCAAAGAAAAACTGTGATTGCGAGTATCAGAAATATGTAATTTCCAAATCTTTCAAATGGAAAGAAAGCATCAAGGACCATTAAAATTGTAAATCAGGGGATACAAAGCTTATTAGATACTAAGAAGTATTGCGTAAAGAAAACATTAAAATGATAAGTTTGACTTTTTATTTTTCATTTATAACAAAACAGTTGATAAAACTGAGCTTGTTTAAAAAATAATTGTTATTTCATTTAACTTAAAAACTATACGTAGTTGTTAATTTTGTTTCTTTACTTGACAATATTATCAAGTATCAGGATAAGATAGAAGTGGACCATAATTTTCTAACAGATTGTTCTTCAACCGTGATGAAACAACATACTTACACTTATTGACACCAAAATTTAATCGTAAGAAATGAATACACTCTTCGAATTTAAGTTGTAAATAATAATAAGTAAATTTAATTTGTAAAAAAACTAACCTAGGGTCACTTGGGTTAGTCACCTTGAAGTAACTTTTGTCCAGGTTGCACTTGTCAACTTTCATTTGAGAAATATTTAAAATATTGTTGTATACAAAATATTAGGCTAGTATTTTTTGTATTTTTCGACAAGGTAGTACATTATATTATACTATACATATATAGGTGTGTTATTTTGGTTCTATTGGTTTTGTAAGATCCAACTTAGATCAAGAGATAAAATTCACTTCACCTGTTTTGAATTCCCAGTACATAAATATATTTAAGCAGTAGAAAACCTAAAAAAATACTCAAAAAAATTATATATAAGTTCAGCATTGATAATTCGAGACGTGCGTATCAAAGACATACATTATTTTGTAAAAGATTTTATACCACTTTTGATTCAGTATACCTATTGACATATAAATAACAAAGCCAGTTATCGACTAAGATCTGTAGTAATTACATTGCTTCATATAATAACATTAGATTGTTAATCCTAACTCTTCCAATTTTATTGTTAGTTTAAAGAAATATCCTGATAATGAAACAAAATAAATTAAGTTTCTGATGCAGTTTTTTGTACAGTGCGTAAAGAACCTTAAAACATATATTGAATATTTGTTTAAGCCTTTGGTTAAGGCAACTTGTTTATTGATATTCATTTAGATATCTTTTCATCACATTTATCTATTTAACTAAAGTATTTTTTAGTTTATACAATCCATTGAAAAAAAAATTGCAGCTTTTTAGAGAAATATTATATGTATATTAGACATTATAATATGTATATATTATTCTTATTGATTTAAATGCAATCATTGTTTTGTTATTAATTTATTGAGAACACTTAAAATTAAAACAAAATCTTCTTAAAGATACATCAATAAAATTCTACTTAACATGCAATATATATTTTTTTATATCACTTCAGTTTAAACCTTAATATTTTAAAGATTTACCATTTTTTAAATGTTTATAGTTGTACTAGGACCACTATGATAAAATATTGAAAGGTAATTTCTAATACAATTCACTCAAAAACTTCTATTATATTCTTTATTGATAGACAAGATGAAACTTCTCATCATTCTATTTATTCATGGTGCGCATGCCAGATCTATCGCTGCAGGGAGAGAAGCTTCAACAATGCTTGGGACTTGCGACCCAGGTGTAGGTTTAAAAGTCTCCTTCTATTTTCAACAACTCTATGTGAACATACAAAACTTTTTGCAATGCAGCTACCAGTCAAAGGAACCAATTCCTATATATTGCAATAGGACAAGTATCAGATCCAAAACCTACTTCATCTATACAAACATTTTCTTTGAATGACTTAAAATGAAATTTTAACATTTTTATCCTACTAATATTATAATTGTGAAAGTTTGTGAGTATATGTGCATGTTTGTTACTTCTTCACACTCAAACGGCTGAACCGATTTTGATAAAATTTTGTATACAGGAAGCTGACATCCAGGAATTACACATAGGGTACTTTACATCCCGGAAATCCGCGTGTAAGACCGCGGGGCGCAGCTAGTACTATATAATTTTAATTGACATCAGGTACTGTGTCTCCAATCCACTTCAAATATGGAGGGTTGCCGTTCTTGATGGGTAACGAGATCACCTCACACACTTCGTAAGGATGGTTGGCTCGCACCATTTCAGTCAATTTATCCACTAGCGATGTGCGAGTTTTTATCATTAGCAGAGCCTGGAAATCATAATTATCATATTTATATTACTATTGTAACATAAGAAATTTGGTGGAGACTGATGTTAGTACAAGACTTTAAGTGACTAAATAATTTTAATTAAACTAAGATTTTCAGACACCACATGTTTTCATTATATTATTACTTGTTATTTTACAGCAACCATGATCAAAGACAGATAAGATGAAAGTGTCAGACACATTGGGATTATGTACTTATAAAATAATAAAAACATTTAATATTATCAGGAAACCTAAGTTTCATTTCAATGAGTACACTGAGAAACTTAGATATCATTAAATTATGTAAGTATAACTCTGATAATAATTTAAGTAATGAGGGATTAATAATAATTCTACTAGAAATATATTGGTTAAAATTGTATTTGAAAAAGACAATTCATGTTTAAAAGTTAATATAATAAATATATAATGAGAACTAGAGTTTAGCAACAAGGGAACTTGAAATGTAAATTTTACATGTAAGATAGTTGTCAATGCATATCACTGCAAATATATATTAGTACAAAATTTATTGCTTGTAAATTATAAACAAGATAATGTATTATTAGCACATACCTCACTATCTTCGGCGATTTCATTTTTCCATTCATAAATTGAGGTTACTCCAGGTATGATATTAACACAAGCAGCTACTTTGTTTTTGACTAGAGTATGTCCAATGGATTTACCAACATCAATATTGGGCACAGTTACGTAAGCAACCGAGTACTTATCTGAAAATGTTAATACAATACACCTTTGTATAACATCAATGGTTTTTAAAGTTTTATTTTATACAATGGCATCAAAAATTAGTGCTGTTAAATAATTTCAATATTTTTTTACAAAATAAACTTTTGAGTGAGGGGTACAGCTTTAAAAATAACATTGTTACCGGCATCGATAATCCCTGAAGACATGTTGGATGTGGCTACAAGGAAAGTAGGCCTTATTATTGATATATAAAGAGTAAGAATTGTTTTACGATTTATAAATGTCAGCATAATCTTTAAAAATAATTATTTTATCGTTATTGAGAGCTCTTTAAGCTATAAAAACAAATTCAACAACAACACTCTCTGCATAAACTGTCAACATATGACATATTACACATTGACAATTGTGATTTGACAATAAACTATTGACCAAGTGTCAAAATAAAGTCAGCATGGGCTCTTAGTAATATAGCTAAGACAATAAAAAACGACGTCTTTCACTCATTTATTAACATTTATTCTAAAACAATTCCGCGTAGCTTTTATTAAACTAATAAAGAGTAATGTTTGACACTTAAATGTAAAATATAGTCTTAAATATAAAATTGGATGTATTATTTTAAATCTTTCTTTCGCATCTAACTTAAAATATACAATTTTTGTATACTTAGTTAAAATTCAATAAATCATAACGACTTGCAATTTAGTGTATAAACGGAAAACATGTTCAGTTGTGTTTATATTTCGGAGAATGGTTCCGTTTTCCGGCCCTAAAATGTAGTAATCCGATATTCATTTTTTATAAACTAAAATTACCCCAGATAATTATGGAGCATTATATGCTTATGGAGCAAAAAAAATTATTATATGCTTATTATTATATGCTTATGGAGCAAAAAAAAAGCCTTTTATTTATTACATGCTTATGGAGCAAAAAAAAGCCTCGATAGGACATTCGATATTCAAAACATCTCCATGTATGACTGACCTCAGTCGCCAAAATGGCGCTTCGCTCAATTCGCTATCTTCAGATAAAAAAATTAAAACACAAAATTTTCATGAATTCAAATAATGTCCCACCAAACTTTTTTCAATTTTCTATTAAAGAATGATACTCTTTATAACTAAAAATATACGAAAAAATTTATAGGAAAATTAATATATTGTAATATTTATATATGTATATACGTATGTTATGTACGCGCAACATATTAGAAAATAAATGAACATCGCCGGGGCAAACTCTTTGTATGGATAAAATATCATATAACGAATGACGCTGCTGACTCCGCAGAACGAACACCAAGACGTGTGAACCAGAATATTCCTGATACCACACAAGCTATGGAATGGGATTCCTATCCAAAAATCGGTTATAAGTTTAAATGTAGAGTTGTTATTATAATTTACATATAAGTAAGTTTTATAGTTTTCCTGGAACCTCGTTTGCCAATCCTACATAGTACGTAGGTTACAAAATTATTTGAGGTTGTATTAAAAACGCAAACTGATAGAAAAACAAAAGAGAAAATGTAAATGTATGACTTTAAATAAAATATTTCCAGAAACTGTTTAAGTTTATGAAAAATTCATAACATGAAATGTTTATTTTTATATGTGCATTATTTTTTATAACATTTTCAATATCGTCAGAGTTTTTAAGATTTGTACAATAAAACGTCAAGAGTGTAATAAAGCTCTGGGACGCAAAAGAGGTCCATAATCTTTTTACATTATCCTTGTAGAATTTCCTGATCCTCTATGTAAGAATAACTAGTCACTGGTTCACTACTACCCCTGCCTAGAGCGCAGGCGCACGTCACTGTTCTACTCCGTGCTAGTCGTAAGACTGCAGAGTTAATGCCACCTCTAGTGGGGCACGTGAGACAGTGTATAATATCTACTGTATAGATACAAACTCTACAATCCTAATTTATCGTTAGGAAAGTTATTGGATATGATGCCTTTCCAAACCAGCCAGAAATTACCAGCGAGCATGAGAACAAACTCACTTTTGTCACAATGATAGCAACCATTCTGATATACATTTTACTGAAATGGAAAATTATTTTGTTTATTATGTTTTTATATCAATAAGGAATGTATATAGTTGGATTAACAATGTCAAATATTTAGTATCAAAAATGTAATTTTATGTTATTAAGTATTTATATAGTTTTTGTTACTATCAGATAACGTAATTTATAATAATTTCAAATACTTAGATAATATTGTTTGATGTGATATAACATTTTATTTAATTCGCGAACATATTTACCTATGTATAATTTTAACTATTGCGTTGTTACTTATTGTTGTAATATATGAAGTTTGTAATAGATATAAATATGTCGTCTTTTCTCCACATAAAACTGAAGAATAATTTAAAAGCATATGGTAACGGTTTAAAATATTCACATAGGTATTTTTGACTATATAGACTAAAAAATGTTTAAGAATCCAACCTAAAAATTACTATACTAGACTTAACTAAAATACGAGATTAGACTTCTGCTGTAATTTATATTAAATGATATTGTTTTTGAACTTTAAATTTACATGTTCATGACTATTTACGTAACTCTTTAGAAACGAAAACATATTTTTGTTTTGAATGCTGGTAGTAAAATAATTGTTTGTTTCAAAATTTTAAATAACATCTGATTACAAATAGGTGATTCAATAAAATTGCTAGCGTTTCCCTATTTAATACAGAAGTAAACACCAATAACGAGCATATATTTTATTAACTTGTAACTTGTAAGCTATTTGATTTATTATACAATTGGTCCAAGTTCTTTTATTGTTTAGTATAACTTACACGTATAAAATTTCAGATATCCGTACCTTGATACAAGTTTAAATCGAAAAGAAAACTAAAATAGTTTCTAATGTACACATTCATATACATATATTGATATTATTCTTGGGAAAGAGTTTGTAAGGAAAATGAAAGTAATATTTTTCGGATTATACTACGCGTACTATTGTAAACACTACATACTTCCAAAAATGTGTAACGCTTCACGATTTTGCGTGTCATCCTTGGTCAGGGGCCAATCGTAGTGTAATCCGAAAAATATTAGTTTCTTTTAAATGAATACTCGCGAAAGCCTTAGATTTTTTTAAGGAAAACTTAGGAATAATCAGTGATTAGTTTAACAATGCACATTCATGGTAAAAAATACAGAAGTCATGCTCAGTTCCAATTTGTATAATCGTATGTAGTGTAGACGAAGCATTTTCAATTTCTCATTAAATTTTTAACGATAATACTTTAATATGAGAAGATTTATGAATGTTAAACTGTTATTATTATATAAATAATAAGTAAAGTTATATAATAATTTAGTTAAAATTAATCAATCGTCGACGTTACTTCCATTCCTGATATTCTTTGACTGAGAACTAATGAATATGTTAACTAATTTTTCATATTCTAATATATTCTTCGGAGTCTCGTGTTACATTGAATACGTTATATCGTTTCCTGAATCGAAGATTTTTTTTATATATAAACTTGTTCTCTTTATTTGGGTTTATATTTTGCTTATTTATATTTATTAGGGATCATTATTTAGGTTAACAATAAAAATGATGTAAAAAATTAATTAATTAATATGAAAATTAATCAATATATTATACCTATGTACTATGTAATTCGAGCCTTATCTGTAGCAGTCCTGTTCGAAATGCGAAGAGCATATTAGTTTAAATGAAATGAAAAATATCCTTAATCTTGAAGAAAAAGAATGCATCCAAGTTTATTCTTTGAATATATTGAAATATTGTAGTTTGAACGATGTAAGTAACAATATTTCATCATCAATATATTATTATTTTTATTTATTATTTAGTTCTTTTCGTTCCGAAGCTACGAAATAATCATTTTTCCTAAAAGAATACAAGAGTACATATAGAAATGTCCCATATTCATCCGATAATTTGAACTTTGGAAATGTTTATTGCATTCTTGAAATTCAGACACACACTTTCCTTATACGAGCAGAACCTAAAAAAATGAATAAGGTTCATCAAATTACAATATAATAAGGCTATATATTAACAAATAACTAGCATACCGTCGGTTAATAAATATTAATGTTATTTTTATATTTAAGAAAAACATGTCTTTATCAGCAATGTTTATAGCGGTACAAGGTTGACGTGGTTAAATTATACGCCTTCTGCTACCAGCATTATCATATTTATGCGCCCTTTATATTTTTTGTTAAGTAATTGCCTTTTTATTATCTGTAAAAATATTCAGATCATCTTGAAATTGTTCATCTGTGGCTCAATGTCAATGCGTATTGTCGTATACCTAAAAGGAGGTTATCTTAAAGTAGGTAATACGTTTAAACTATTTTCGTTTATGGAAAACGTACAACTGATTTATAAAATTATACTTAATTATACTTCATTTTCTTGTTGGAGATATATTGGCTGTTTATTATAATTTTTATACTCACTTCGCTTCTTTAAAACATGTGGAAGTAAACACTGTAAAATATGTTTAACTCTCTTAAAATTCTTTATCCACACGAAAACAAGCTTGGTTCTAAAGATGAATCTATTCTTATGTAATTTTTTCTAAACTATCGGGGATTCTTTGTAACAAAATTCTATTCTTTGTAATTAAACTCAAAAAAGGTTTAGTTAAAATGAAGTAAATGCCTAAACATTTCAAATCTTGGATTAAGGTAAACACGAAAATTATAGATATTTTGAAAATCATTCTTATAATATGTGTATATTGTTTTTATAAAAAACTAATAGCCTAGAAGTAGGGAATATATTAATACGTACCTACCTATTATGTAATATTTATGAGACCAAATCCGTTGGCAAAACTAGTTGATAATATTAGCAAAGATGATTATGATTTGAAGCCGCTATTAATTTATAGAAATTTCCTTTCTGGCCTTAACAAGAAATGCAAGGAAAAGCAAGCCATTCCGTCAATCTTCTTGTCAGATTATAATTTTTAAAACACATATATAACTAAAGTCATAAAGCCCAGAACACAAATATCTGATATATATGTAAATGTCTCGGTCGTTCTTTTGAAATGACAAGGAAACCACGTGTATATAATTTTGAAATTATGATTTGACATAAAATGCTTTTGTAATAATTCGGGACATGCAATACGAATTCACTTATGCAAAATTTATGCCTTTATTGTTGACTCTGTATTTTAAACACATGTGTGAATATTGTATTAAGATGTCTGCATGTCTGTTATTTTATGACGTCATTATTTAATTTATATCTATAATCTAAAT